TATATGGTATCCTTCTCAATTTTGGTGTCTCTCAAACTTCAAAGGGTTAAAAGGAATAGGAAAGAGCCCGGGCAAATAGGATGAATTTGTTTATAAGCATTAAATTTATAAATAGATTTGAGCTCGACAAAATATGTGTAATTCTTTATTAGTTGACAAGATCATAAATTATGGAACACAAGGTTTGGCTATTTGTGGCTAAGGCAAAGAACAATAGAAATTATAAAATGTTATGATGGTAATCAAAAGTTTTTTGTCAAGTGATGACAATTGTGTGACGATGGTCGAGCTATAATGGTATGGCGATAGTAGTTAATGCAATGATGAACAAAAGATAACAGTCCGACAATTGCAATCGAATAGTGTTATTTGGGCTTTGATGATTAACTCCGGCTATTTCTAGTAGTGATTGTTAGCATCAACTGAATTTCTTCATATATTTATACTCCCTCAAATTTCAAATTTTTTTCATGAGGATATTATTGAAGAGTTAGTGTTGGTTCGCTCAAACATACACTATAACATTAATATTTAAACATCTGAATTAAATTAAAATTTTTTTTTTGAACTCATTAAACTTCTCTTATTGATGTATTTAATTTAACTATAAACATAAAATTTGAAGATCATTGAGCGCATCAAACAATACATATAATTTTAAGGTACAATTCTAGTGCTTGATTTGAGCTTTTTAGACTTAAATGAGTGTAATGTTATTATCATCTGCCTCGCCTCATCAAAATATTTATTTCAAGAATTAAATTTTAAAAATTAGAGTAAATTAGGGTTTATATGATTTAAAATTTAATTTCGAAAGATAATTTCAAAATCAATGTGTTTTATTTATGTACTTTCATGTATCAATTTTGATTAAAGTTAATAATTATAAAAAAAATTATGAGACTGTTTGGGATCAATTTCTATTTCTTATTTTTATTATTGAGAACAAAAATGGGTGACAAACAGAAAATAGTATTTGCCTAATTTTTTTAATTTTATTTTTGTTTATTATTTTTATAAATAATAATCTATGTTTAAAATATTCAAAACAGAAAAAAAAAACAAGTTTTTACTATTTTTAAAACACCTTAAACAGGCCCGTAGCCTTCAGAAAAATGCCCCTTGTCGCCAGCTGGTCGCCGGTGCCTGTCACCCCCCCCCCCCAGCCATAGCATGCCACCACCGCAGCCCGCCATCCGTCGCCGAAGACTACCCGCCCGCCTGCTCATTACCATATATCGCCGCCACCGCTCGCCGCCACTGCTTGTCGCTTGCCACTCGCAGCCACCACTCGTTCCCTTCCCGCAATCCAAAGCCGCCGCCCTTCTGCTCCCGACGCTACCGATCGCCCGACCTCCGCTGCCTCCCGCTCGCCTGTTTTTTGCCATTGCGACAGCCCGACACCCGCCTCCCGCCCACCACTTGCCTCCAGCCTCCCGCTCGACTCCACTCACACATGTAATGATTCGTATTTGGTGCATCAAAGAAGACTTCACATACGCAATGGATGACGAAGCTTAATACTAGAATATGACATGGACCCAACCGTTTTATAAAAAAAAATAATTCTCCTAAAAAAAATAAAATATACGCAATAAAATATATTTTATATTTTATATTTTTAAAAAATATATATATCATAACGGTACCAAACATATTTTCTAAAAATAAAAAATAAAATATAAAACAATCAAACTAAAAAAAATAAAAAAACAGGCCCAAAAGTATTAGTTAGTCTACTTATTTAGGCTTTTTGAGAAAAAAGAATGCATGCCTGAAAAATAAAGGAAAAAAAGACTATCTATTACGTATTCTAACGTATTTTTATATGGAAAAAATACCAAAAAAAAAGGGTTCAATAATATGTTTAAAATAAAAGATTTTAAAATAGAAATAATAAAATATAATAGATCAATTTTATTTAATAAATTAGACCAATATATTCTTTAATGCTTGTTTTGCATTCGAAAAATTTATACGTGCGAATGTTCCGTATGTGTAAATGGGTATACTCTTAGATATGAGTGATTAGCGTGCGACACGCAGAGCTGTGTGCGCTCTCCACATGTAATAATTAGACCTGAGATATACACTTCTAATACGCACCGACATGAAATATTTACTCAGTAAATTGAACAAGAGGCTTGAACATTGTAAAGCCATTTGGTTGGCTAAATTATTAGGCTAAATAAGCTGAAGTAACATATTAAAAATATTTCAAGAAAAAGAGGGTACAATAAAAATTAATTATGTTGAATAACTATAAACTATATAGTTAATTAGTGGATTCGTTTGAATGACTAGCAATTATTTAAATTAAATAACGACACGTATCAATCTAATGGTCCACAATTGTCACTCGACCTCGATTGCGGCGGTGATTTTGGAAGTGCCATCCCGTAATTATAGCACCATGAATAATTATAGAATTAACAGTGGGTCTGTAAATGAATCAATATGATCAACAATTTAATGCTAGATTAAAGCTGATTTATAATCATTTAATTATTTAATGAAATCAATTTTAATATTTTTATAAAGATTACATTAATAAATGAAAAAAGCTCTCATTTAAAATTCATGAAAAAAATTAAATTAAGACTTGATAATATGATCACATAAGATTTAAAGATAAATTTATTTAATTTTAATTAAATTTTATTTTTAAGATCTGTCGTATGCATGAAAATTCAAAGTAGTAAAATGAGATGTTAAGAACTAAGTGTTGTATGAAATCCAAAACAAGTATAAATAAAAAAAAAAGAGTTGAAAGATGATGCACTAAACTTCTATGTAGTATTCAGAAAGAGAAAAATCATAAACTTTGATCCCGTTGAAATCAATCCATAGAAAATGTTATAACTCATAAATGATAATTTTTTCAAGCTTGGGGGAGACATTAATACATTGTAATAGCCATAAATTTTAAAAAATGAGCTCCATAATATAAACTAGAGAAGCTCGAAAGATCATAAGTTGCATTTAAAAGGTCGCTTGAGAAATGTTGAGTTATCCATCTATGCGATAAGAAGTCAAGATACCAAGAAGTTTATTGTCATCGTGTTATGGATACTGTGCTTTTATCATATAAATGATTATGTGCATTAATTTTGTTGGTAATGATAGATGGTGAGATGAAATGATGTTGGCATTGGTATCAATGATGATGGAGGCAAACAACCATAGTCAAGTAATGATAGACAGAAGAAAATAAACAAACAATCCTTGTTGAATGATTGTAGCTGGCTGATGCATGTCAGGTAGCCATTGTCGGTTGACAGAAGATAGGGGAACCATAATCTAGTTACGGAACTTAGGAAGATGTTATTAAGTCATTATAGTTGGGCACCAAATATCGAGTAGTTGCTTTTGAGCCGAAGAAGTTGAAGGACCATAGTCCCTTAACGTATGCCAACAAGTTGTAGATGATTGACAGCTATCACGCAGACGTCTAAAGTCAGGTAGAGATAAGTAATGAAATTTTAGTCAAGCGATCGTTGACAAGCAACTGCAGTTAGATGCTGGAGTTTGACAACTGTAGTTGGTGATGGAGGTTACGAGACCATAGGTGGGCAGTATTTCGACTACAATGGTGAGATAGAGGTAGTTCGATGATGGTAGTCTAATGATGATAGTTAACTGATGACAATTTGATGATAGAGGTTAAATGGCACGGGTCAGGTAGGGGCCACTAGGAAGCCGTGCAACAACTATCAGACATCAAGGTAGTTCGGCAGTGGTAGCAGTCGACTATTAATCGTCCAAAGGTGGTGGACTAGTCGAGCTTATGAATCCTTTGAGCTTTAGAACTTTCTTGAATCAACTTAAATATAAACCTCAAATGAAGAGATTGAAAGTCTATATATAAATTTTTTGAAATATTATTCTTCATGAATAACACTTGAATCCAAGCCACACCATTGATGCACAGAGTGATTACCTTGATTGTACAATATGTCTTAAGTATTTGAGTGTCTTAATAATATCAGGATAAAGTGTTCTTGGGATCATTGGATCCTTCTCATCAAGCCACTAGATTTGACTACAAGTTTACAAAATTTTGAGATCATTTAATCATTCAATTAATATCCCAAAGTTTATGCCTCATGTGATTGATTATATTTCATTTAAATTTGGATTGAATTAATTTTGATATTATTTGATTGATCTTATTGACACATTCCGTTTGGCTCCAAGCTTACAATCTTGAGATGCATCGAGAGTTGAGCCCAATCAAGAGGATATTTTGAAGCATCAAGATCAATAGATTGCCCATTTTTAGTATTGATGTTATTGATATTATTCATAATAAGCTAAAAAAAAATAGTGAACTTGTGAGTCAAACTTAAACCAATCACAAACGACCATAATTTTTAATTAATTGAGATGGTACACTACTAGAAATACTTGAACCAAGCAGTAGTGTGACTGATAAGCATCCCTAACCTCCACTCATAAACAAGTAATAAAACAAAAAAAAAAAATGGTAATTAAGCAATCAAGATAATGAATTGAAATGAAGCATGAGTCGGCAGATTGATGCCTTCTTATTAAATAATTCAACTCTTAATTGATGAAAAGTTTGACTCTCAAGTATAACGTGGAACACAAAATAAAAATGAAAGAAAAAACCCCTTCATAAACCAAAATTTACACAGAAAACCCCCAGTTGATCAGTTTATATTCATCCCGACATAAAAAGTTCATGTCGAAATAGTTGTGATACGCTGAACTGATCTCTAGGATAAGCTAATTAATACATATTTTGAAATATGAATTCCACATTTTTCATCAAACTTATGTGACAAAAAATTAATGGACCAAGCTATGCAAGAACCATTAAGATTATCTGTAGATAGAAAACAAGTTTTGAAAGTAACGATTTGAAACTTAATGATCTGTTCGGTTTGAAGGAATTAAATGAAATAAAAACATGGTATTTACTTTCGAATATGATTGAAATTATTTGATAAAAGATAAGTTTTTGCTTATTCAACTACAATCTCCAATCAAAATCCAATAAAATTTTGAGCTTTTTACGTACAAATCATCAAGTACTTTAAACATAACCAATTGATTACCAAAACTTAAAATTTTACATTTCAACAACTGCCCAAAACTTGGGGGGTTTATTCCATATGGACGGCGTATGCAGAGATGCATGTGCCGTCTGATCTCCCCCGTTAATCAGATCAAAGTTGTATTTAGGTGGGTCTATTTCTTTTTTTTTTAAATGATAAAAGCTTTGATCAACGATGGAGATATGACCGTATGGAATAACTAAATATAATGGATTGAATACTCCAGTTTCAAAATAAAATAAGGTTTTGGGTGCTTGAAAAGTAAATTTTAAATTTAGGTGATGAAAATATTATATTTAAAATTTTAGGTGATTGTCATGTAAAAATCCCAAATTTGAGATTAAAAAACTATAAAAAATTTTTTAGATTCACATCTTTTCCACAGAAAAATATTAAAAATATCGATTTTTATTTACATTTTGTTATCAAACCAAAATTCTCATTTGGCAAGAAGAGCAGCAGCTTAATTTCCATTTTCATTTCTTCTTTTTTTTTTCAATTCCTTCAAACCAAATATGGTAAAAAACTTGTATGATGAATCAAACAAATTAATTACGTTTAAAAACATTTCCATCTACAGAGAACGAATGAATCGTTACCTTTTTATTGGGGACCAATTTTCACATCAGGAATCCCCAATGGAGACGACAGGTTCCAGAAGATCATAGGTCGCCCAAAGAGCATCCAACGGACAAGGTCTTCCAGCATCAAGCCGCGCCCATGGCTTCCCCTTTCCACTCCAATGCAACAAACTAGCTGGCCCTGGATGCAAATCCCTGCACAATCCCCTAAAATTATCTCCTCCCAGACCGTGCTGATTCCACCGGTGATCCACCGCCGCGATTCTCCCGGCGAAAACCAGAAGAAACGGCGGCAACGATCCCAACTCATAGATCCTCATCCGCTTCTGCAACTCCATCCACTCCTGAATCTTCTCGGTGTAACCCCCTTCCCTCCACCTTTCCAGATCCATGACCATCACGCCGGTATTAAAATAGCAAGCATTCCTACCCTCGAAGACAATAGAGAGGGATGGATTCGCCCAAAATGTGGGGGTGAAATAGGAGGTGAAATTCGCATTGCAGTATTCCGGTGCTGCGAGGGCTGCAGGGGAAGGGATATGGGTTGCAGATAGGGCAGCGATGTCATCGACGAGGATTAGGTCTGAATCGAGGTAGACGGCTCGGGAGATGCAAGAGGGGAGAAGATGCGCGAGGTAGGAGCGGGCATAGTTGAGGGGCCGATCTAGTGCGGCGCGAATTGAGGTGGAGATGAGGTTGGAGACGAGTGAAGGGTCGAAAGGGTGGATGAGAAACGCTAGAAAGGGGAAAGTGGAGGAGATGGTGGAGTTGAGGTAGGGAATTGATTTCGCGGCGAGGAAATGGAAATAGACAGACTGAGGGCAGGATGAGTGTTGGAGGACGGAGTTGATTGCAGCGATGGAGCCTCGTAGATAGGCGACGTCGAGAGTCATGGCGACGTGAACAAGGGCCGACGGGGAGCAGGAAGAATCCGGCGAAGACGAGACGGGAGTGGGGCAACCGGGTGAATTGTAGAATTGCGAGGCTTCACGAAAGCGGAGATCACCGGGATGCGGTGGCGCTGCCGCTGCAGATGAAGACAGAAGGAGAAGGAGGAGAAGCATTTGGGGATTGGATTTTGTTCAGCTTTTTTGGGAGATTTGCGTGTGGGGGAATGCGAATATAATTTCGCTTCTTCTTCTTCTTCTTCTTCTTCGTCGTCGTCGTCGTTATGTCTGCTGATTAGCTTCTTGGGATGGGGGTGAAGGATAGCGCGTGGGGATTTATAGCCTTTATAAAGAAAGCCGCGGAGGCAGAGATTGGGGTGGAAGGAAATTGTTTTTAATGACGATCTTAACCCTGATCCGATCAGATGGCTGATAATTTGTCTTTTTTTTCGCCGCCGGTTTTTTAAACTCTTAAAAATTAGATCCTTCACTGCTTATCAATTAAAAAGAAATAATAATTGACTGTACATTTTCTGCTGTAAGAAACAACGTAATAATTACTATTTTGGATATTTGTACTTCAGGTTGTTGCTGTAAGATTTTCATACATATATTAATATATTTGTATATTTAAAAATTTTGATATAAATATTTTAAAACCTATATTTGTCTTGAATCACCCTAAAAAGTTTATTTTGGATGATATTGTTCATATATTTATTAAATAAAAATCCCATTTTGAAACATTGATAATGTCCTTGAAGAGTGATTATGATAACCGTCACGATTATCATTATGATAGTCAAATCTTTTCTTGTTGAACCACTAATTTACTTCCTCCCATTTCTTCAACTTATTTGGTTGAGCATCTCGATTCAGTCATCTGGATCATCTATCTCATGCCGATTACAGTTCTTTACGCTCATTAGGATCACTCCAAGGTTACTCATACCCGTGTCAACTAAAATTAATCCATAGTGAAATATTCCAACTTATATTTTTTCATTTGGTTTATATTTTTTTAAGATTAGTTCAAATAAGAAGTGAACTTTATTCTTAAAAAAAAATTAAATATACTTTTATAAGTAATAAATATTTCCGCAAACAAGTTATGGAAAATTTGTTATTTGTTGTCAAGGCCCCATTGAAAGAAGACTCCATCATCCCTATTAATAGAGTTGTCTTTGCCGACAATACTATTATTTATATGGGAATTTCATATTAATTTTAAAAATTAGAGATAAGTATCATATTTATGATTATCTCCTTGATTAGTTGACTGAACAAATATGATGACAAGCGATTAGATTTAATATATAGCTTAATCAAATCCAATTAGAAGAAAATAAAAAGATATATACTAATAAAAAAAAATTATTCAATTATTTAATGCTTTTATTTTCTTTCCAAAATTTAAAATTTATCTTAAAGTATTATAAGTGAGTTAAATGTCACTTTTATCTTAAAATCTTGAGATAGAATGTTTATGATTTTAAATTTCAATAATTTTAATGATATAAAGTTAATTTTAGTTTAGTTTGATATAAAATGTTTTAGTAAGCTTTGGAAGATTTGAGCAAAAGCGAAGAACTTTGTTCGTGTTTTGATAATATTTTTTTGATTTAAATAATTTTTATTTCACCAAAAATCATTCTTTAAAATTGATCATCAAAAGATCGTAATATTAGGTATTTATTGTTTTTATTATTATATTTTTGGGACATATGAAAAAAATGTACACACCATATATGTAAAGTCTTGAACTCAAATTCCCTCAGTTGAAAGCCTTACTCTCAACCAAGAAGCTAAGATAGCTAACATTTTTTATGTATGTAATAAACGAGCTCATGCTATATTATCTTCTTATTACGTATAAAAAAAAAAAACAGTAATTATTGAAGCTAATCTAGAGAGAGGACATAAATATAATTTTTCGTGGTTTTGAGGAATAATTTTATATTTAAAATTGAATGAAGTATAAGAAATTAGTCATGCTTTATTACAAAATGTATTGCAAATCTAAAGGGGCCATCAATATATATATATATATATATATAC